CTCCCCTCAGGAAGGAGGTTGAGGAGCATTAAGTGTAGAACCACTAGACTGAGGAACAGCTTCTACCCTGAGGCTGTTAGACTCATGAATCTCTAACCAGGAGAATCACTGTGATGACACTTTGAATGGTGAAATGTGCTGCTGATTATCCATGCTGCTGATCTCATGCTACTGATCTGTTTCATGTTCATTTGTACTCATCTGCTCACACAGACTCATGCTCGTGCTGCTGTTGTTCAGCGTATTGTTTTTGTACTAGTGTTTAGTGCATGTCTTAGTTTATATCTTACATCATTATTTACAGTTTCTTTTTACACTATATTTTTGCAGTTGTTGGATGGAACTGGGACCCTGTGCAAATAATTTCGTTCCTCCTCATGTACCACATGTGATGTGAATGATATTAAAACTTACTTAAACTTGAACTTTAAAAAATCCATGTCCTCTGACGTTAGTCACAAGTGCTGAACATGAGTTTGGAATGAACGAACATCTTTCTTCTGTGAGCAGGATGAAGATATTTGGGCTGAAAGTGAAGAAGAAGAAGAAAGACGCCTCCGACCTGGTTCTGGCAAACAAAGGAGCTGTGGGTAAGGCCTTAAAGACAAACACTCGTCACTCAGTGCGTGATGAGTGTTTGTCTAACTGTGGACAGACTAACCCTTATCAAACATGCACAGTCAGGTCAGTTTATTTCTGTAGCTCCAGGTCCCAACAGAAGTCGTCTCAGGGCACCGAACAGAAACATTCAATTATAAAATAATAATTTAACATTATTTATGAGACACAGTTCGGACTCATCCAGGCTTTGTCCGAGACAGAACACCTAAATACATTTCTCATGAAACTCACGTGTTGATGAAAGACCTTCAGTCTTTACTTTACAACAACCTAATGCTGCACAAAGTGCTTCAGAGAGCAGAAGGTAACATGAATGTTGCAACAATGCCATGTTGGATGAAAATCCTGTCAGAATAACTCGTTTTAAGAGTAGATTAAATGAACGGAACGCCAACGTGCGTTGTCTCTGAGGGATTTGAGTGCTGAGCATTTTTGTAGAGCGTTTCAGGGCCCAGACGGTGTAGAGGAAGGGCAGCTGATTCGGACCCACAAGCCCCAGGTTCCATCCCCAGTCATTGCACATCTCGTGGTGTCTCTGAGCAGGACACCCTATCCCCAGCTGCTCCCCAAGCACCTTCAATAGCTGCCCACTGCACCACCTGAGTGTACCCCAGGTGTGATGGGTTAAATGCAGATAACTAATTTTACCATTGTATGAGAACGTACAATGATGACATCACATAACACATTTATTTATTTAGTTTAAGATGAGTGTATTTCTGGACTGGAAATGAAGAGAGAATAAAGTAAACCTTAATTATTTCATATATATATATATATATATATATATATATATATATATATATATATCACCCTGCAGATGTTGGATGCTGTCTATCATGGTGCACTAAGGTTCATAACTATCTGTAACTACCGTACCCACCACTGCACCCAGTATTCACTGGTTAACTGGTCACCATTAACTTCACACAGACTCTCTCACTGGTACATTTCCATCTTTAAATCACTTCCTGGTCTGCTGCCTTCATACATCTCCTCCTACATGTCTCTGTGTGAGTGCAGCTACAGCGTGCGCTCTCAGGACATCATTACCTGCAGTGTTCCCTCAGTGAGGACTGAACTAGACAAAAGGACCTTCTCCTACTCCGCTCCTGTTTCCTGGAATATCTTACAAATTGATCATCACTTCCTGTTACAGTGCATTTGAATATCTCGACAACTGTTCATGTCTGTAACAAAAATGTGATGAGGCCAAAGTTTAAGACCACATCTGTCAGGCTGGTGGTGTTTGTCTTGGCTGATGTGTCACACAATATTCACTTGTTTCTCTGTGCATGTGTGTAGACAGTGAGGTTGACGTGTCTCCTGAGGCACCACTCTTGCAAGTTGAAGAACAACACCACCCCGACCAGCCTGCGGTCAGAACCAGAACTGTACCCAACACAAAAAGGTAAAAAATTAAAGAAACGCTGCGTACGCGACACATTGTGCTTTAAACTTGAGCATAAAACTACCAGAGTCAGAGTTTTATGAAGCTTTCAGAAAATACTCACTGGATGTAAATCACATCTCACTGGTTCTTCTGGAGGTTTCTTCCTGTTAAAGGGAGTTTTTTCTCTCCACTGTCTCCTTTGTGCTTGCTCAGTATGAGAGACTGTGATGAAGAGAAGATTCAACTTGTCTGCTGCTTCTTCAGATACAGAACATTACCGATTGTCTTTCATCATGTAAAACTGAGATCAAACTTGGAGTGGTAGTAGCTGACAGTTGTTCAACATTAACAGATCTTACATGAGACTGAGTGTGATGTTATCGCTCGTCTCAGCATCGAACTATGTCTGATTGAAACTCAGGCGTTCCTTCCATCCTTTTATTTCCTTACAGTTTATTGTCACATTACTGTAGAGTTCTCTCTGTTCTGTGATTTATCAGTTGTAATGAAGCTTCTTTTAAAGGGGTGTTTTGGTCATTTTGGATGAGGTTTTGTGTAAATGTTATGAAGAATTATTATTTTACATGTTGTAATTAAGGTTTGTGAGAAACAGAGCTTAGTTGTGATTGGAAAGTCAGGCCAACAGCTAGAGCCAGAATCAGAATGTGTTTCTAAATATCTTCAGTCTCAAAGGTTTCGTGGTGATTTTCATCAGTTTGGTTTTATAAACCTGAAAAAAACTTGGGCGTGAGACGTCTGGCCATTCAGCCACATGCCCAGCAAGCAATCCTCTTGAAGGCATCTCTGACTGGCTGCAGATCTCTGACATACAGAGCCTGTATAGATATCATTGTTTCCATGACCGGGTCAGTACCAGGATCGTAGCCGAGGCCTGAGGCCCGTGTGCCCAGTCCTACTTTAAAGTGCTCATAGTGTAGGCAGGCTTCATGCTGCCATCAACGCCACCACTATGATGATAGCCCACTGCGTCTTTAGGATGCTCAACGGACCCCATCAAGACCCCATCAAGATCCCATCAGGACCCTATCAAGATCCTATCAAGACCCCATCAAGACC